TTTCTTTTTGCTTATGTGGTGCTGAGGAATCGAACCCAGGGCCTCAGGCATGCAAGGCAAGCGCTCTACCACTGAGCCACCTTCCCAGCCCCGTGACTGTCATCTTGATGGAGATATAGTCTCCTGGGCTCCACATTCATGAGCACTGCCACCACACTTCCTCCGAATGCTGGTGAGAACATTAACTTCTTGACTAAAGACTGCCCAGCAATCCTACATCTTCCAGTTATACACGCTCACAGTCTTGCCTCTTTTATCACTTTCAGTTCTTCTCTGCTTTCTCCTTGACGTAGGCAAAATGCCTTGCTTCTGAAATTTCAATTCCCTCCTGGAAAGCAGAATTAATTCCCTTCATCTGTTCTTTTGGTAGAGTCTCATTCACCTTCTCCAATAATTTTATGCTATATTTTGATTGACTGATTGACTGATTTCAGGAAATGGGGCCTCATACTCATTTGGTTTGTTTCCTCACAGGTGGTACTCTACCACCTGAGCCACTCCTCCAGACTGACATTTTTGCTAGCTCATTGGAGATGCAACTTTTCAGATTTTTCTGCCCTGGCTGGTTTTACACCACAAACCCTCAGATCTCTGCCTCTTGAGTGACAAGGATTATAGGCATGAATCATTAGTACTGAGCGATCTCACCTTATCTTTCTAAATTCATCCCATAGATTTAGTTTGCACATCCTAATTCTACTCTACTCCATATTCTTTTTTTGAGACAATTATTTATTTATTAGGCAGGGTAAAGTTGTTTAAGGAGAGGAAACAGATCCCAAGTATGTGTTTAGCTTGGTGTTGCTGGCATTGGCGCACACAACAAACAACACTACTCAATACATCATGGAAACAGGCCACCTACAACCAGGAAGATGCTGGCATGCCATTCAAAAATAAGCCACAATGCTTAGCAAACAATTATAGGGAGCTGCAGAGCATACTAGTGTCTAGTTCACTACTTGCATTTTGTGCAGCTGAGTCATTAACTTATAGTAGTATTTGACTGGCTCCCTGGTTATTAAGAAATGTGTCTTCCTGTATTCTAGAAAACTTTGATTGGTACATACTTCTGAATGTCACTGAAATGACAGTTTATTGCAGACATAACTAGCTCACATCACTACATATTTCAACTATCATGGGTAATAATGGATAATCTCATAGTGCTATGAGTAAAATTCTATATTTAATACATGTAGCACTGTTACAATGTACCAAAATCACATTTTGTCCTATGGTACATACTTGGAAAAGATTCAATGAATTTTAAAAATAATTGGGAGAGCTCACCTGGCCCACTGTACACAAGCTGTGAGCAAAGGTAGATATATCTGAAAGTTGCTGTTGAGTATTTGCCAAATTATTTGGCCTCATTTTAGCAGGATTTTCCTGACTGAGCTTGCAGAGATAGATTTCAATATCCACTCTAGAGATTAGCCAAATTTTGTAAGAAGTAGTATATCATGGATGCTTGTGTAGAAGGTAAAAACTATTCAGCATGAAATTGACTGATAAATCTCAATCCTTAAATCCACTGGTCTTTTCTTTTGGGCTAGGGATAAACCCAAGGCCCTCAACATGCTTGGAAAGTGCTCTACCAGTGAATTATACCCCTGGCATCTCAACTACTTCCTTTCACAGCAGTAAGTTCTTATGATGAGAATTTATCACTCCACAAAGAAAATGCTATTTAAGAAGCCAGTCACAAAAGACTGGTAATGTCTGAATTTATTATATTAAAGGCCTGAAAATAGATGGATGATTACCTAGGGCTGGGAGTGGGCAGGCATCAAGAAGAAATAAGAGGTGACTGCTACAAAGTCCACAGTGTTTTGGGGATTAAGAAAATATCCTACATTTGATAGATATGAACACCCTTTAAATGGGTAGTAATTACAAGGTATATAAATTATTTCTCAGCAGCAATGTTATGAAAATATCTTAGGAAGAGAAGACAGCCCCAAAAGAGAAGAAAATAGGGGGATCTCCCAAATCAAATCACATGAAAGGAAACAGTTGACAAGCTTAATATAATCTGCTTGTTTCTCTCATATTACTTTGACTTTATTATCACTTTAACCCCTGACTTCACATTTTTAACAAATTATTTCAGGTAACCAACAGATTCCAAACTTTGTTCTCATGAGACAGAAAAGTTCCACAGAATAAAAGTCATTGACAAAGAAATAACATCCTTTGGAGCTGTGTATCACCAAGTAGAATAGAAGAGAGGAAATTCATTTCTAATGGGACAAAATACCATCAGGTATAAGGGCACCTTGATAGTGATGCTTTGTTCCTAAAGTAAAATGTAATAAGGGTATCTTCTGACTCTTGCCTGAAGTACATTTCTTTCTTTTATTCTTTTCTTCAGTTGAGGGGCTTGAACTCTGGGCATGGACACTGTCCCTGAGCTCTTCGACTCAAAGCTACTACTCTGCCACGTGAGCCATAGTACCACTTCTGGTCTTCTGGTGGTTAATTAGAGATAAGAATCTTACAGACTTTCCTTCCCTGGGCTGGCTTTGAAGCACAATCCTTAGACTCATCCTCCAGATGCTAAGATTACAGGTGTAAGCTACTGACGCCCAGCGTGCATTTCATTTCGACACCTGCATGGTATTTATTTCCTTTACACCTTTACAATTCAAGAAAAGCAGTATTTTTATACCTGTATAATTCAACAAAAGCTAATATTCTCTACCAAGAAAATAATAAGATTCCTGTGGGTTTTTTTAAGCGCTTAGAGAAAACCAAATTTCCTTAAAAGAATATTTCTGTCTCTGAAAAAAATTAAACTGTATTCTCATCCTTACCTTCAGCACCATAGAGTGAAGACACAATTCTGTTGGCAGCTACAATTAAATTTCTCCAGTGATTTTTTCTAAATAAATTAAATATATGAGTTCCAACTATTTAGATCTAATTTCCTTTGAGAATGCCATTAGATTACTGAAAGTTTTCCTTCATTTTCACTATTTCACTAGAATAGTATAAAATAAACTAACAGAATTTGAATAAATGAGAGTTGCCAAAGATAAGTAGTTTTTCTTATGACAACTATTCTTTTCCAAAGGCAAGATAATGAAATCATTTTTGATCTATCTTCAACTACTCATTACATAACCTAAACATTTTTGCAGCTAATGGAAGAAAACTCCAATCAGCTTTGCAGCAAGTTGAGCCTGTAAAAACATCAGGAAAGAATTTTTGACATAAAAATTGCTCAGTGCACACAAACTCTCAGAAGAACGAGACAGTTGATAGTAGAGGGTATATGGTGGTGAGTGGGGTGAGAAATCATGGATAAAAACTATCAAATATCTGCTAAAGCTAAAGCAGAGCCACTTTTTAGGGCTGCAAAGTCACTTTAGTCTCATTAGGGAAGTTTATTTGATAAGACCATTTTAATGTCTCTTGTGTTGCAAAATGCAGCAGTCACACAGTGTTTCCTAAAGGATTTCTAAAAACTGTAAAGCAAAAAAAAAATCTAAGAAAATAACCACAAAATTACTGTTTTCCACGAAAATGCTTTCAAAACAGTGTCTTTTACAATGATGTAAATTGGATTAAATGAAAAAAATTCTCTATATGAAAGATCAAAGATGCATTTCACAGATAATTTATATTCCATTAATGACTGGATAACCAATTAACAAACAAGGGCCATAGACTTCTTAAAACCAGAGCTAAAAAAAAGCAATATAAATACTGATGAGAGGAGTGTTTTATACCCCAGACTCCACTGTTCAACTTGGTCCTGTCCTGTAATTTAATTTGTAAAAATCTTTTTTTTCATATCTTTTTTTATTGTGAGAATACCATACAGAGGGGTTGCAATTACATGGGCAAGATAACGAGTACATTTCTTATCAAGCATTGTTGCCTCCTCTTTGTTTCCCCTTCCCATCCTCCCCCCCTTCCCCCCACTCCATCCTCCCCCCACCCCTCACCAAAGTTGTAAAGTTCGTTTTTCAACATAATGACTTGTACATCTCATTGTTGCAATGGGTCCACCTGTATCCCTAGTTAAACTATTTGTTTTTGTCCTTCCCTTCCACAAATTATACCAACATCATAATTTGTAAAAATTTTAACGGTAGAGTGATTTGAGTTTTTGTAACTTCAATGATGTGTTAGAGGACAATGCATCTTTGTTTGAAGAATTTGTTGAATCCAAAGTCTAGAACACTACTTGATCATGGTGATTAAATACATAAAAGGATGGGTGATTCCTTAAGGTATTAAATGTCTTATTTTTTAACTCTGAAGTATCATCCATGTCTTTAAACTCCCCTGCAATATGAACTATATCATAACAGGTAACTGCAAAGGCCAGAAGAATCTGAAGAACTAGATCTATTGGCAGTGATTCATCTTCCTTTTCTGTCAATCACATATAAGAATGACGCTGCACAGAGGAAAAAGCAGCATGGGCGAGAGCAAAGAAGCCAGTGTCTTCTAGTCCCTTCCACAGAGGAAGTGCCAGGCTTGTTTAGGAACAGTAGCCCAACAACCTAGACCATATTCTTGAAGTCAGAACATCTGATATATATATATATATATATATATGTATGTATGTATATACACATATATATATATACATACACATGTATGCACATAGATGCATACACATTTTACACACATACACACACACATATAAACTTATCCTGGGGGTCATCACTGGAATACGGAAAGACACAGTACAGACTTTACAAGTTGAAAATGCATTTTCCATTGAAATTTTTTCTTTAGAACCTCACCACCTTCTTGACATTGTCTTTAAAGGCTTGCTTCACTTGCTGGTTTCTCAGCGTATAAATGAAGGGGTTCAATAAGGGGGTGACAGAGGTAATGAGCACAGCCATGGCTTTGTTGAAAGTACCTTCTTCTTTTGCAGAAGGATTAATGTACATGAACATGCAGCTGCTGTAAGAGAGGGAGATGACCACCAGGTGGGAGGAACAAGTAGAAAAGGCCTTTGTCCTTTGCTGGGCAGAAGGGACGCTCAGAATGGTCCTGATGATGTATGTGTAAGAAAGTATCACCAGCACCAGCGTGACTACTAGAGTCATTGTAGCCAATAGGAAGACTGATAGCTCTAAGGCCCTTGTGTCTGAGCAGGCAAGTTCTACCAGGGGCCCGAAGTCACAGAAATAGTGATTTAGAACATTGGAGGCACAGAACTCTACCTGGCTCATCAGGATGATCGGTGGTAAGATAGCTATCAATCCCCCAAGCCAAGAGCAGAACACAAGTTGTAGGCAGACTCTGCTGTTCATGATAATCAGGTAGTGCAGGGGCTTGCAGATGGCCACATAGCGATCATAGGACATGGAGGCCAGGAGGTAAAACTCTGTGGCTCCTAAAAATATAGCAAAAAAATACTGAGTGAAGCAGCCCGCAAAGCTGATGGCTTTATTTCCTGTGGTCATGCTGGTTAGAAACCTGGGAATGAAGATGGATGTGAAGGAGATTTCTAAGAAAGAGAAGTTCCGCAGGAAGAAATACATGGGGGTTTGGAGGTGAGAGTCAAGGCAGGTGAGGATTATGATAGACAGATTTCCGAGGACACTGAGCATGTAGGTGAGGAACAGAAAGATGAATATCACCACCTGGAGTTCAGGCTGACTTGTGAGGCCCAGAAGAATGAACTCAGCGACCATGGTCCTGTTTCTCATGGTTGACTTTAAGTAGATCTAGAGAGAAAAGGTTAGGAAGAATTAAAAAGAAAAACCCAAAGAGTTTCTCAGAGTAGAAGAGAAAACACTTTAACAAACAGAATCAAGTCATCCATTGTTCTCCTTCCCAGTAGCCCATGGGACAATACTTGGCTCCATGAGTGCCTGATCTCTATCTAAGTGACCTTATTCCTAAAGTCTTCTCTAGGAAGACTTTTGTGATGTTGATCTTACCCCTGGGAACTTCACAAAATACATTACAGAATAATGAGTTAGCATTTTTTTCAGAAGAATATATTTTATTTTATTCGTGTGTGTGTGTGTGTGTGTGTGTGTGTGTTGTGTGCTGGTCCTGGATCTTTGAACTCAGGACATGAGCACTGTCCCTGAGTTTTTTTTTCTTCTCAAATAGAGTGCTCTACCACTTGAACCACAGCTCCATTTCTGGCTTTTGGTTGTTTACTGGAGATAAGAGTCTCATGGACTTTCCTGCCCTGGCTGACCTTGAACAACCATTCTCCAATCTCAGCCTCCTGAGTAGCTAGGATTATTGGCATAAGCCACTAGTGAATGACTAGAAGAATATATTAAAAATTTTTAAAAAGTATCCTTTGTTTTCAAAAATTTTCAATTATCTTTCTTTTTCTTTTTTCTTATTGTCAAGGTGATGTACAGAGAGGTTATAGTTAGGTAAGTAAGGTACTAAGTACATTTCTTGTCAAACTTGTTACCCCTTCCCTCGTTTTTCTCCTACGTTCCTTCCACCCAACCCCCAAGATCATTTTCAACATATTGTCTTGTGAATATCACTGTTGCATTGGTTCCCCCTTGTCCTTTGTCTCACCATTCGGTTGTTCCCCTTCCTTTCCCTTCAGTTATCTTTAAGTAGTTATTCAAAGAGGTTTCAATTCACCATGTCAGTTCATGTGTACCAGCGCATCTTGATCAATGTCACCCTTTCCATCATTCTTTTAATCCCTCCAACCCCACCTATGGAGGGAAATGCACTTTTAAACTCAACATGTTTATGAAACTCTTCATTTAAAGCATTTTCCCTTAACTTTATTGACATCTCCTTGATTTCTAGGCTCTTAGTAAAAAGACATAAAAAGATATTCACCTGACTCATTTTTCTGCTATTTTCTTCCCTCTGTGATCTCTCGGCAGTCCTGTATGCTCTGCAGGAGATCTTCTGTGGATTCTCATCTGCATTATTCTTCATGTTTCACAATTTCCCCACACAAGCACTGTTGAAGAGCATCTCCTCTTATACATTGAGCCTTTACTTTGCATGAAAAAGGCTCAGGCATCAATGAGTCCTATGAATCTACACTTTCTCATTTGTTAGTTTCCTATTGGCAGAGTCTCTAGGACACTGATTTGGGATGTGTCCCTGAGAATAAGAATCCTGAATGATCACAGGTAGCATTTCAGAGTGGGTGATGCTCATTGTAAATGATCTCCACCACGCTCAACTCTTCCATCTTCTTTTTTCCCTCAATACAGAAACCAGGAAGAGAGACCTCCACCTTTTTTGACAATAATGTTGTTTTTTTAAAATCGTTAAATTGGTAGTTTACAGAAAACTCTCTGAAGTTAATCAGCCTTTAGATTTTTCTGATAATCAAAAAATATAAAAGGGCCCCATGCATAAAGTGAGAAAAATCATATCATCATTATTATCAATATGTTCATTTTTTCCTGTACACATTTTAGGGCATTAGGTAACATTAAACACAGACCCAGGTCTCCTAACAACTCTTTGTTTCCTGTTTATACAAACCTGTGGTCTTTGGCAAAGATTGCATTTTCTTCCAGAATTTCACAATTGATTGATTTTTACAATCCATGTCTCCAGGATGACATTGTCACAAAATTTAAAAACATATAATGTTCACAATCTTGACCATCTAAATATCTTCAGTGTAGTGTTTACCTTATGATGTGACTTGCAAAATCTCTGAGTTATCTAAAAGATGACTTATTTTCCATTCATTTGCTACCATTAGCTTTCAAGCACACACACACACACACATTATCCTTTTCTCAAAAGAAGCATCCAAGTTTGTTGGGTTTATTGGAAACGGAGTACATGATCTTCCATTCTAAAAAATACAAGGCAGAAGAAAAATCTCATTTTCAGACAGATGCAGTTCTTCACATGTGTAATAAAAAAGAAAAACAACAATAACACAAAAACTTTATTCCTAAAGTCTTAGAGGACTTTCATAGATCAAAGAGTCCTTAATATTTTAATTCTGAGGAGATTATGTATGCATCCTTAGAAGTCAGCCTGTGGGCTGCAGATAGCTAGAGTGTCAGTAAGTTTTATCTACTCTCTTTGGAGAAGACACATTGGGACCAATTTTCTGACGATGTCAAAGATACCCTATGGACCCAAGTTCAAAATGTGTCATTGAAACTAATAAATTTCAATTACTGACAACTTTGGGAACCAATTTGTTAGCACATGGTGGGGAAAAGACACTCCAGAGAGACCATATGATTAGGGCTCCATTATGCCATAGCATGGCATTTGTGGAGGAGTTGAGACCCATGGAATGGGTTTGCCTAGCCTAGTCATCGTTTCTATTGTCCCTCCCCATAAAAACCAGTTAGCCAGTGCTTAATCTTGATCCAAATGAATGGTACTTTATAGTGGACTACCATCACCTTAACGCCATGGTATGCTTCATTATGATATTCAGCCCTAAACTACTGATACTTGGAAAACAGTTGGCTGTTTTGTGCTGCAGTTTGACTAACGTGTTCTAGTCAATGCATTGTTTCAACAGCATTCCAGAAAAAAACTGCCTTCATCTGTGAAGAAGTAATGGACGTTCACTTGCTTCCTCATGGGTGCCAGTGCACAATCTTCGCAGGCAGGATCTTCATCATGTTTTACTTTTTTTTCTTTTGGCCAGTGACACATGTATGATAGTATATATTTTGCTGTTCTTCTATGAGGAAAGGAGGTATTTGCATAGTATATACAAGAACTTGTCATAAACCTTTTGTAGTCTGGTTGGACCATGGCTTGCTACAAAATCTAATGCCCTGTCACTTCATAAAGAAATTGTGGGCATTCCCAGTTAGTCTGGGGATGGTCCGTACTGGAGACAGTGGGTGGCATCTCACTTTCATTGGCACTTACTACTTTAACCCAATACTTACCTTCTTCTACTTCAAAATGCAGCTGCTGCACATGAAGAAAACATGTGATCATTGTCTTTCTGAGTCTAATTTATTTCACTTAAAAACATGAGGATCTCTGATACCATCCATTTTCCTGACAGTGAAAACATTCTTTTTTTTTTTTGTTGTTAGTTACATCATGGTTCACCTTGTATGTAAACCACGTTTTCTTTATCCATTTATCTGTCAGTGGACACCCAGACAGACCCCCTATCTTCTTTACTGTGAATGGTATAACAATGAATTTGAGTGTACAGGTCTCTATCATAGGCTGACTTCCTTTGATTTCTTTGGGCATATACCCAGAAGTGGTACAGCAGGATCATATGATTTTGCTTTTTTTTTTTTTTGTTGAGGAATCTACATACTGAATCTTATTGCAGTGGAATAATTTACCTTCCTACCAATGGTAGCTCTCTGTGCCTTTTGGTTGTGATGTCACCTCTTTATTCAATCAGTATGCCCTTCTACTTTTCTATTCTCTTTTTTTTTCTTGATTTCACTAAGATTTTTTTT